AACAGCAAACAAACTTGCAATTCCTGAATTGTCCACTTGAGGTTGTATGGCTCTCAAAGTTAGATCCCATATTAAATGTCCTCTTATACTGCAGAAATAAACATGTTTACAGTCTGGTACTAGAAATGGTTTTCGTCTCAAGAGCTTATTTCTTTATTCAAGGTTGTCGAATAAGCTATTGAAAAATATGGAATTAAACCACAATCTACAAATGTTCATTACGTATTTTACCATGTGGTTATTTGAATATTATTTGACCACAAATTAAACGTTTAACAGTATGGTTATTTCATTTTAAACGGCACTTGTTGTTTGGCCTGTGAGCTCTGTCATTGGATAGTCTGAAGAGTTGCAATGCATTGTGGGGCAGTTGAGTATGTGAGCTGCCGTACGCAAAAATTACTAACTTTAAATTAAGAACGCATTACATACTATATTAGACGTCACACTTGAAATTATGTGATTTCAAACACAGCCATTAAAATAGGAACGGGTAATGCACAAAATTAAAACAGGAAATTATTACTGAACTATCTATAGAATGAAATTGAAACTATTTCAAGATACAAATAAAAACATTAGCAGCATCATGTAACCGCGTGTATTTTGATTGTTTGACAACAAATGCATGGATCTGTTCAGATTTTAAAACATTAAATGTTGCTCCCGCCAGACACAGTCGACTGTTCTGCCTCAGTGAGAGACCCTCGTAAACAAACGTCTGAACGCGCCATCTGTCAGGAACAGACAGAATGAGCAGAAATGCACTCAAACAAAACGTGACCCATCGCTCGTTCTGTATATTAAGGTGCATTTGGTGAGGTTGGCATGCAAATATGCTCCTGCTTAAAGACATACAAATATACAAATAAATAGAAATAATCATCATGCACCGAGAGCTGCATGACAAGATATGCTTTCAGAAATTGCTATGAGCTGTCACCTGTCTGTAGAGATGTACAGGTGTGCTTCAAGGTCCAATGACATCATAAAAGGGTGTGGTTAAAGGTACCAGAGGGCATACACCCGACCAACAACAAACATGGAACCTTTGATTAGAGAGGGAAGCAAGAATCAGCGTTTTATCCTGGCTTTACATTCATCTTTAAGGATGCATTCAGGGAAACTTCTAACTTTTTTTTGATAAAGTGATGGAAGAAATACGAATATGATATTTCGAGTTAAACTGCATGGCCTGACATGTTGCATCATATTCACTATGGATTATATGCTTGTGTTCCTCATGCAGGTGTGCCTGGCTGTCTAAGTTCCAGGACAGCAGTCAGTGGCTGCAGATCGACCTGATGGAGGTGATGGTGGTCTCAGGGATCCTCACTCAGGGCCGCTGTGACGCTGATGAGTGGGTCACAAAATACAGCGTTCAATACCGATCAGATGAAAAACTCAACTGGATCTATTACAAAGACCAGACTGGAAACAACCGGGTCAGTTTAAACCCTGTCATAATGGTTCAGCCTTTTCAACTATTACTGATCTTTCATTTGGATAGTTATGGCTTCAAGGCTTCTTACAAATGAACGCTTATAAAATTGTTTCTTTGCAACATGTTTTGAGACATTGTCATTCATCAATTAAATGATCTTTAAAATAATTTTTCATTCACCCTTGTGTTGCCGCTGTCATTCATTCAAAGCTCTTCCATCCTGACTTTGACCCCTCTTTCCTCAGGTGTTCTATGGAAACTCTGACCGCTCCTCGTCTGTGCAGAACCTCCTTAGGCCGCCCATCGTGGCGCGCTACATCCGCATCCTCCCGCTCGGATGGCATACACGCATCGCTCTGCGTCTGGAGCTGCTGCTCTGCATGAACAAATGCATGTGAACTTCTCTCCTCCCAGCGTCCCCTGAGGCCTCGTCCCAAATCGTAACCTAAAGCCCCAATTCTAGAGTGTGTGATCCATATCATATTGTCCACAGATTGTCCTGCAGAAGAACCACAAGTTAAGCCGAAAGGTCCTGTAAAAACATTTAAACTACAAAGAAAACAGAGTTAAGATATTTGTTTGATATGCAGAATGAGCCTTCATTCACCATACTCTCCGTTGTCTGTGTCGGACCAGTCTCACGCTGCAGGCTTTAATCGGCTGAGTTCTCAGTAGATTAGTCCATTTGAAATGAAATGGCATAAATTCAAAGCAATAATTAGGTTTGAAGAGAGAGGGGCAGCGTTGCTATGGAGGTTTGATATCCTGGTCTGAGACAAAAACGTGTCCTCCTGTGACCGGTCTGATCAGTTCTGTCTGCTACACCTGAAATTTTCCTGCTAAACTGTGGATGTATGCTTCTGCACCTCCCAGATGGTCTCTCCCCTTCATTAAAAAAAAAGAAAGAGGAAAAGCTGTTAAATATTTTTTTTCAAACTGCCGACAAAGCCCAAGAAAAGACCAAAAGTATTGATCCTACTAACCAGTTTGGATTGTGATCTGTATTTGTGTAAAATATTTTTTTTTGTAAAATTTCTGAAAACAATTCAAAACACATCAGTGAGCCGTACTGCCACCATACAGAGAACATGGTCACTTGAGTTTATATCAAGTAACACAAACATTGTAACGTTGCTCCAAATACTCTGTTTCAATGAGGATCAAATGTGTATTCATACGCTTCTGGAAATAGTCCCTAAAATATTTCAGAGTACTGTTGCTAACAGTTACAGCCCCCTGCTGTTTTTAGTTTTTACTTTTACTTTTTTTTCTAAAAAAATACAAGATAATATGTTTCTATGATTCTTTTTTTATACATAAATGTACGTCTTCAGTAAAGTGTGAGACAGAATCATGTCTCCTGACAACAACAGTTTTGGGATTTTTGGTCTTTTCATGAGATTTGTTGGTACCAAGTAAATCTGAAATCAAAGCAGGCTTTTCTTGTTAAATCTACCTGTGATTTCACTTCCTGTTTTGCCTTTAGTGTTTGTAAAAACTTGTGATTATCTCAGGCACTCGTTACTTAATATCACTCTGTTGTGCTTTATAAAGATTGAGGGTTGCAAAACTCACTAATATGCAAATCTGGTTTTGTACTGTGGTTCACTCCTGGCTTTTTTTTTTCTGTATTATTTCAATTCAGTTTCCCATGATGCTTTGAGAATAAATTTCAGGGACTTTTTTTTTCTCTGCATGTGTGATCCTTATTGTATCCTTTTCCTTGATTAAATCAATAAATAAAACCATCTCATGTTGTGTGTGCGTCTGTGATACAAAACAAACATATGAGCCGTTCAAAAATGTACAGTTGGCTTTTATTATGAGACCCAATCGTTTTTAAAGTAGAATGGTCAGTATAGATACGCTCTATTATTTCTATTTACACCCTGTAAGAAGTGGGAAACAGTTTAATGAAAAAAAAGGAACTCATGTTTTAGGGAACACATTCATATTCGTAAAAGAAAAATTCTCCTCAGTTCTGAGTAGATGTGACTTACGGGCCGGGGGGGGTTTGAAGCCTCCGATTCCATCTGAAGGGTTTCGACAGTGAGCTAATGTAAGGCTTCAGGTCACTGGCAAGGCAAGCTTTGTCATCACTCTGTCCCATAAATGATCTCACATCAGCAGTCGTTTACAATCATCCACAATCAGGATTTCCTTAATACACAACGGGGGGGGGGGGGGGGGGCAGTTTAAGCCGACCAAGGTCACGTTCAAGGACAAACGTATTGCAGAGCATGTTTTGATATTATATGTGGACACTTAACGTCAATTACAGTCTCCTTCTCTTTGCTATATCGGGCTCCAATTTAACTAGCCTCTGATTTGACTAGAACGATCTGCTTCAGTCTGACTCTCTCAGTCAATGTTATTGCTTTCAATCACACAGGTGGTCAATTGGTTTTTATTTTTCTTGTTTGTGAATTTTCATCCGATTGACAGATGAGAAACAAAACATGATTTTTTTTTTTTTTGTCTTGGATTTGCACAAATTTATTCCATTCCCTGTTTCTGTGATATAACAGCTTCTCTTCTCACTTTAAGTTTTAAAACCACAGAAGAAGAAAAAAAGAATAAAGTGAAGACTGCGAGGAAAACTCTGCGGTGTATTCTGACCAGGCCACAAATAGTGTTTTGTTCTAACTTTGCATCGTCCACATGTCAGGAACGAGTAAATGCTTTCATGAGTGAACCCAGTTCAGTGAAGTCATCCCTGATCATGGCTAGAAATATTCTAATGAAAAAGTTGTAATGCAATTCCATTAATAAAACCAATTTCAGAATTACAAAAGGCATTTATGTAAACCTTGATGACAGCTTTTTAAATGCACACAGAATAATGTAAACATGTACATTAAAGGAGAAGTCTGGTGCTATTTTATAACTTTCTTATAGATATTAAAAATCCTTCTTCTACATTTCTCAACAAATTTTATGAAACAAAGGCAAGGGGCTGCAATGATGTGAGCATATTCCAGTAAATGATTACAATAATAAGAGGTATACAACACTGAAACACAGAGTTTTGCAATACTGGAAATGTATAGTCAGCATTTATTTGATCTATTATCTAATTTCACGACAGAACTATGGCATTTTGATCACAAGCATTAAGTCATCTACCTGCTATATGCACTAGCACACATTAATGTTGCTTTGCAGCATCTTGAGCTAAGTTAATATTTCTGCAGAACTATCAAGAGCTGTTTTAACAAACCCCCTTGCCTTAGTGTCCCAACATTATCAGAATGACCTCAATCAGATGAAGAACAGGATTGTTGTTTTTCATGCAGAGGAGTCTCCATAATACCTCTCTGAGACAAAAGTACATGATTTTTTTTTTAACAAGACCCAGAAGGATGTTTCAGTTCTGAACAGACACTACACCAAATGAGTAAAATAGTGCACTTGTAAGGGGCTATTTTTAGCAGCGGTTAAATACACATTAGGTTACCTGGGGAGCAGTTGAAGCGTCAGGTCAGCGCGAAGGATTCCAGATTAACTACAGGGCCAATGGTATGACCATGTTGCTCGCTTTTTTACTCTGTGTTTATAGAGTTAGAGCTATAACACTCAGTATATAAGGTTTTGAATATACAGACACCGCGTATAAGGATGTTCATTTCAGTGTTGCTTTTGATCTTTTCATTTGATTTGTTAACTTGTAGAAGTATAAAAAACACCAGACTTCACCTTTAAGATCTTAAAGGTTGTGGGTGACGTATGCCTTTTCACAGAGTTCACCCGGACTTGCCTTCAACACTGTATGTTAAAGGAAAAGTCAGTCACCTAAAGAGGCTACACTTTTCACCACTGATGGGCACCAAAGTGTTGATGCACATTTCTTGCTGTTAAGGCTGTAGACGAAAGTAGCATGGCAGCATGGAGCTGGAAAGCTGTTGTAGCTGATGAATGAACTGAAGAACACAAAGTGGGGCTCCTTAAAGAGTGGGACATTAAGCAAGTTGCCATTAATGTTTGTAAAGGACAGAGACTAACAGTGTCACTCTGTCTGCTCTGCTACCAAACCCTGTTGACAAAAAAGCCTGACTCGACTCTGAACTTCAGAGCTGATGTCATGAAGGTGATGGGCAGATTTTTTTTTTAACTAGGTAGATATCCTAGATTTGTTTTTCTACTTGGGCAACAAGTATCTGTGAATATTTTTTTTTTTTACATTCTGATAATACAACAAAAACAGAAAAAGGGTCAAAATAATGTGATATGACATGAAAATCTGTTCAATTGAACATAAAAAGGACATTCACCATTATTAAATATTTTTCGTGACATATTGTATTATCAACACATAAATATCTATGCATTTCTCTGTGTCGAAACTAAAGCTCTTGCAATTACACTTTTATCTCTATATTACCTTATAATATTCCCATATAGCCTACATACTGTGTCATTTATAGCTTATATCCTTGAATTTATAACAAATAAACATTTAATAAATAATGTTGATAGAAATCTTTTTTTTTTTTCTTCTGTCATTGTTGTTGTTGTTCTTATCAAATATTAGAGCATGAAAAAACATTTGAGTTTATTGGCCACTGGTTTGACAGCAGCTGTCCGATGTTGTTGCTGTAGCGTCCTTTGGCCAGAAGATGGCAGCAGAGAGGCCGTACAGGCAGTGTCTCCTTGACTGGAAAGATCAGAATAACATTTGACTGATACCACAGTCGCACCCTCTTTCCCGTCTTTGATTTCCTACACAGCACTGTTACTGCTGAGTGTGTTTAGTTTTTGTAGATTTCAGACACATAAGCATCAACAGAAGAACTACGTTTCTAAACGAGGATCCAGTGAAACAGGTTTTCATGTAAACTTGCACTACAGTACCATGATGTTGGTGTCTGGCAGAGGCTCTCAGGGTGGAGACACAATTGAAGTGAGGGGAGGGGGGGGGGGTGTTACAGCGCGGTCTCCTTCAGGTCGTTGAGGTTTGGCATCCTAGTGCGGGAGGCTCGGGTAAAGGTGGGTCCGTTCTGCCCCGGTTTGATGCCCAGCTGTTCTGGGGTGAACTGAGCGCCCTCTGCCCGCTGCAGAGCCGACACGTGCCAGCTGGACTCGATCTGCCCGGGAAGAGGGTAGCTGGTCTTGCGGCTCTTGGCCTGCTGGGTGGAGCTGCTCACCCCGGGGTGCCCCCTACTCTCGGCGTGCCCTCGACCCTCGGGGTAGACTGGTTTGGAGGAGGGCTGAGGGGGGTTGGGGAGAGGGGCTTGGAAGCGCAGGTCAGGGGGAGGGGGAGGAGGTTGTCCTTGATTCGAGGAAGACGGCGAGAGATGAAGGAGCCGGCGGAGCGACTTCAGGGGTTGACTCTGTCAGGAAAGAAGCAAATAACTAAAAATGAAAACTATTATACATGTTTCCATCCTTCTGTCTACCCATCTCTCATCTCTCTATCCATCCATCCATCCATCCATGCATCTATATTGCTGCGTGCATTGCGCCGTTGCATTGCCAGGGGCAACCACTGCTGTCAAGTGCTCGTCTTGATCTCTCGCAGAACTGCAGCCAAGTGAGGGAAGAAACTTAGAGATAATTCAAGCTTCATCTTATGAGGACGGTTTAACAGAGATGACGGACATACTGCGGCTGGTGTCAGAGGCGGTTATTATGTGTTTCTTTAGATATCAACTGTATTTGGACTGATGTGTCCACTTCCATTGAACGTCAGATGACCTTAAAGAAGATGAGTCTAAAGGCCTATCTGTCTATCGATTTAAAATATACGGTTGTCAGAAGAAGGCTGAAGACTGACGGAAAATAAAGACTTTTCAAATTGAGACATTTACTAGATGTGGATCAGATTCAGACTCGAGAACATTCACATTTTGTCCACATCTGAGTCCCTATCAGGTAAAACGTCTCTCCTTTTGTCCAATTCTTTCAAATTAACACAACTGGTTTTGATGACATGCTGCTATGTTCATAATGTTATTTTAGTGAGAGAATTTAAACTTAAATTTAAAGAATTTGCCCAACATGTACATGTACATGTTTCAATACTTAGGCCTTGGGATAACATTTAGGGAGAATGTCAATACCATAATAAGGCCGACATTAATGGAAACATATTTTCTTTTAAAAACCTTAATACTAGGATTCTCAGCAACAGGCAACAACTTAAAACCCTTAAGTTGGGTTCTTTGTTGGGTTCTGTATGGCTTTTTTGTGTTTTGCCCAAACCTAAAAGTGGTTACTACGTTGCCGAAATAACAACAACTCCACACACACTTTAAGGGCTGTTTGGAAATATAATACCATCATTTTTGTGAAAGAAGGTGCTGTGATCTTTAATCACATACGACCTTACATCTCCCATGTGTCCGTACCTGAGAGTGTGAGTCCACTGGTTTGTCTGGTGGCCAGTCATTGACTCTCTCTCTCTCCCTCCCTCTGTCCCTCTCTCTCTCTCTCTCTCTTTCTCTCTCTCTCTCTCTGTCTCGTTCCCTGCTCTGTTCCCGCTCTCGGTCTCTGTCTCGGGATCTCTCGCGGTTTTTCCGTCGGCTGCCGTGGTGAGAGGACGACTTTGAGCTCCTCTGCAGGGACATGTGCTCTTGTCCGTTACCAGGAACCTGACATATGAGAAAGAACATACAGACACTTCATTATGAGCTGTCCCAAAACCACTATGAATATCCTGATGAGGTTCTTCATGCATACCTCTCACAGCAGCTGACAAGTCACAAAGAGACGAGGATGGTGATCAACAATGACTGATATGAAAAATATTCTCTGAATGTTTGTGTCTAAATATGATTTGACTTCAATCTGCTGATTAGATTTTTGCTAATAGATCACATGACAAAATACTCATGCCCTTCATTATTTAGAATTGGTCGAGAAAACATATTCAAAAAGTCAGAGATCACATATAAACTGATAAACAACTAAACGTTAAAGAAGCTGATGATGGGAAACAAATGACATTACTCAAATCTTAGACTACAAGAGACAATAGGAGTGTGAGCTGATACATTTAGACAGAGCCAGGCTGTTAATCCAAACGTATAAGCATAGTGCTAAGCTAGTCTAACTAGCAGCTATCTGCAGCTTCATGTTTAAAAGATATGATAGTGGTATCGACCTTCTCTTTAAGCCTTAATAAGCTTCAGTGATCTATGTTTTAGGACTACCATACAGCACAATACAGAGTCATTGAATGTCTACAGGATGAGTTGGGATACATGTGTGGGTTCATGAGCGTACAAAGGCATTGAATGCATTCATGGCCCTCATGTGATACTTTCTTTGAAAAGGATGAGTCTCGACGTGTGGGCCTCACAAACAGCACACACTGCAGCATGAAATCAATGTCTTACAATGCAATGTGAATGCAGGAGGACTGCTATTGACATTCATTATAGCGAGACAAAATGGATGCACATACAGCGTGCAGTATTAGCCCCAAAAGGTATTTGAAATCCTTTCAATTTGGAAAATTTTACAGTCAATCAGTCATCGAGCCCTTGAGAGGATTTCAAAAAGTAGGTCATGTGTGAGTCAACATGCAGCCGTAGTGTCGAGGTTAGATTACTGGTGAGGCAGGGTAGGGCGCGGGAGGCTGGTGTTGTACCATAGGCGAGGCCACTACAGGTAGGACTTTGACAGCTGAGTTGTGCTTTAAGCTATTCTTTGAGCTAAAGAGGGGGAAAAGGCTTTTCTTGATGCTGGGGTTCCTCCCGTCCTCCATGTCCGTCTGCGGAGCAAAAGACGCACAGCCACAACTCTCAACACAAATCTCCGACAGCAAACAACGTTTCTTTCAATTTCTGTCAGCTGAAAGAAATCAAACTAAACAATAGACACAACAAATGTTTTGGATTACAGTATGAAGATTTGATTGTTGAATGAAATAGAGAAGAAGTCAATGTGGGCCTTAACGTTATTATTTCAGTCATCTCTTGATTTAAAGAACTGACCCTGTCCCAAGTGAATGACAAAGCACATCATCACAATGAAGTCTGACAGGGCTACAAATAAGATGATGTGTTGTAAACAAGCGAGCACGTTGGCTTAGTTAAACACAAAAAAGGGGACTCTTAACTGTTGTGATATTCCCAAACTGCACAGGCAAATTGTTAAGAGTGCAAAACATGGGTAAAAAGGCAGAACATTTCAAAAGAAAAACATTTCACACATTTTTATACTCATCTTATAAAAAGTGCAACAATAAAAAAGATTTAAGACAGTGCACGGGAAAATGACTTGACATTCTATCATGAGGTACTTAAAGGATGTGATTTTTACCACTGAGGAGACAAATACTTTCTTTGATTTCATGATGGAATTCACAGAAGTTTTTTCACCGGTCTTACTGATCACCATTTACTTTACAAATACAAACATTGTAAAACATTGTAAAAAAGGACATTTTCCACAGGTGGAGACATAAATGATCTTACTATTTGTGTCTTCTTCTTCTTCTTTTTAATGGATCTGAAGAAGCCTTGTTTTTCCTTCTCTTTGATCGGCTCCGGAGGATTCATGACCATCGCTTCGGCAGCAGTCCTACGAGACAAATGTGGAAGATTGTGAAAATGATTCATGTTTTATAATAAGTTTGCTTAGCACTGAATCTGTCGTATTCCAGGTTACTACTGGGCTTAAGAGTAAAAAAGGGACACAAGTAGCAGAGCGGAAGACAATAACTGATCTTTGAATAATCCACTTGCAGATAATAAATATCCCAGAGAAAAAAAAGGAAATAACCATCTCATTTCAGGTCCTTGAGACAAAGTTGAAAATGTTTTCATTCTTTATAATTGGGACCTTTATAGAATTAAACTCTGATTTTAAAGCAGCACCACAAAACAATCTGAAAGCACTCAAAAATCTGATGGATCTAAGTGAGTGTGACAAACTTTAAAAAATGATTTTAAAAAGCTTGGGGTGACGGGAGCATCGTGGTTAGTGCGCGCGCCCCATGAAAGTGGTGCGGCCCAGGTTCAAATCCAACCTGGGGCTCCGTTACCGCAAGTCGTCTCTCTCCCTGATTTCTGACTCTTTCCAATATCCTGTCTCAACAATAAAGGCGCAAATAGCCCAAAAATAAATCTGAGAACAAAAAAAAAAAAAGAATCTGAAAAAGCTGTGATAGAAAATTCACACGAACACAGAATCTGACTTTAAATGACTTTCATCTCTCATCTAGTTACAGAGACTTTATTAAGACAAAACAGACCATGTGAAGGGGAAGAGCGTACAATGAACATTATGAAATACCGTCAGTAAAATAAATGTCTGAATAATTCTTGTAAACAGTACAAAACGTGTTTGTACTAACCTTGATATTAAGACGGGTTTCATACACACATAGGTTTCATGTCTACCCTGGTCAGTTTTATTCTAACAGCTAAGTTGTAAACAGTTCAGAGATGTTGTGCTGTCCGATTAGTTGTATCTATGAGCGGCCCATTTGAATTAAATTGAATGACATGTGAGTTGGGAAGACCTTCTACCTTTTTAACTGTGGATGCTCCAGTTTGGACCCAAAAAAAATAAATCCTCACCAGTCAAAAGCTGTCTGACGTTTGGAGTGGTTGGCCATGGCGACAGGGTCTCCAGGTACAACGGGTACGACCGGCCCTCGACCCTGCCCGACGCCATCGTGGAAAGAGGAGGAGTTATCTGGTCGGGGGGAAGGGACTGAAGACAAAAACAAAACGGAGAAAGTAATATACAAAATAAATAGATCTATTTTATCAGCAGATCTCCCTAAGTTCTTCATTTGCAAAGCTTAAAGAAACCATTTTTCCTCATTATTTTCATTAATCTGTAATGAAAAATGTTTTCTTCAAAAGATTCTGTAATTATTTTTTTTAAATTACTTTCACTTATATTTCCCAAATCCCACTGTGTCCTGTTTGTATAAATCCAAGTTGTATTCTTTGCCTCTTTCATTGTGTATCACTTCCTGTATGATTGTTAAACGCAATAAAACACGGCAGGTTCAGAAAGAAAATGTTGTGTTTTTTTTCCAAATTTAACATTTCCTGTGGTCCTTTTTAGCTGTTTTTTTTTTCCTTTCGTCTTTTAAACAGGATTATAATGCAAAGAACGCTTTGGATGTGTCTGCTTCTTTCTCTCAGAGTCAAAACTGAACTGAAGTACTTCTTTATGCACCTATTATCAGTCTCAGTCTCCAAGAAGACATGCAGTCGGCTGAGACTTTCAGTTCTTTTACATTGAGACTGAGAAACTTAAAAAGTGAAAATGAACAACAGAAGTTTGATTATTGAGATTTTCCATTACGTGTCGTCATCAGGTGAACATTTTGTTTATGTTTATGTTTTTTTAATTTTCAAAATCCCAGCCATACATTTAAATAGTAGTCTAATTAACCAGTTCTACATGCTTGAACTCAATAACCCTTATGTTACATGGAAAATTAAATTAAATTATTAAAATGGTTACCACCTATGTAACTCACTTCTCTTAAGGAGCAACTGGTGAAGCACACAGAAAAAAAACATGTTGTCATTGAGCTATTCCTGGCCCCTACCACGGTAAAAGCTGCCAACTCTCCGTGGCATGGACTCAGTGAAGATCATCCGGTTCTCCTTGGAGGATCCGCCGTCCTCAACATGCGGGTCGTGATACATCCCGACCTAAGACACACGCACACACACAACAAAACCAAACAGAAAGTTCATCAGAATCTTCAGCTTTACGATCGAGAATCTCCATGTACGTCTCTTCTAATCTTATCATTAGCTGTCACATTCTCCGCTGGCTCACATCACAAGACATTGGGGACAATCTTAAGAGCTGTTCAGTGACGTAACATTTATACCAGCGACAACGTGCAGTGAAGCTGTTGGCCTGATAGAAACAGAGAAAGCTATGGAAACCAGCGTTCAGAAGAGCTACTGTCTGTGTTCAGTGAAGTGGTCTGGGGGGTCGGACCTCGTTTTTAGAGCGCTGCGTATGATAAGCAGCAGCGTTGTCCCTCGTAGAGTCTTTGATGGGGGCACAGGGGTGGCTCAAGTCTTTAGGGGACTGCTCACTCTGTTGGGAAGACGGACAGGCGCAGGTCAAAGCAGACTAAAAAAGCAGCATGAAGCAGAGGCAATGATAATGTGAGACAGTGACAGACCCTGCAAACACACACCAATTCAGGATCACATACATGCACTACTAAAGTAAAGATTCACCTTTTGACACTCCCGCTAGTCACAGCTGAATAATAAATGCCTCATTATATATCCATACTATTGGCTTTTTACAAGTTTAAAAGACCCTCTTGTCTTTATCTTAAAAAAGGTAATACATATATCATAATCCTTACTTCAATGTCATACATGCATTCAGCTGCAGAATATACATTTTATTATTTTGTTATTGTATTGTTAATTCAGCCCTAAAACTGTATTTTAAAAAAATAACTTTAATTAGTCTATTTTTTCTTAAAAAGCAATAAGAAAGTAGGATCCTGCACCTTCTGTTATCCTGACATTTTTCTGATTCAGTATTGGTCAAGGGTGGACGTTCATGTGAGATAAAGGATCCTGTCTTAACCCTTCAACAGTGCTATTGTCAGCCTTTTGTTTTTAATGGTAGTTATTGGAAACATTCACCCTAACATTTCATCTTCCACTAACCCTGGTCATGTCATCTGTGCAGCTCTCTCTGGACGAGCTAACGGAGTGTCCTGTCAGGGTTGTCCGGTGCTGCAGCTGAGGGGAGAGGAGCTGCAGACTGCTGGCACGTGTTGGTATTGCCTGTCCCGGCGCAGGCAGGCCCGCCATTCCCCCCTCCACCCCGTGTGGTCGGTGACGCTCCCTCCTCACGTACATAGAGTGGCGCTGAGGCCTTTGCTGGGAGGAGAAGGGTGAGGTGTAGCCCAGGCCGTAATGATAAGACTCATGTGGAGAAGGTAGAGTGTGTGTGGAAGGCATCCCAGCTCCTCCAGGGTCTAAGAGCTCCGGAGCGCCGGTCTCCTCTGGGGAAGAGGAAGACAAGAAGAAAGAAAAGATCACAGTCGTCACATCTTTCATTCTGGATTATTCTAGTATATTGAAGGATTAGCTGGGTGAAAAATGTCCTAGACCAGTTTGTAAAGTCTACAGTAACATCATCAACTTTCTTTTATTTCAGTCCTAGATTTGTAGAACTATAAAAGAGAGGAAAACTAAAGATGAGTAGCAATATGGGTTCACCCGTGTTTCCCACAAAATGACACTTACCGGTAGATTTACAGAGAAACATGATACTAAAACAAGTCTCTTTCTTTGTCTGTGTATCTCTGCAGAGCATGTGATGGTGAGTAAAACCTTCCTGGGACAGCAGAATAACAGGTAGGGAGAAGGATGAGCCATGGGGAATGGTCCACTTATTCATCTTTGGTGGTGTTGTTTGCTCAGACACATAAATCAAAATAAACAGGATATCTTTGCAATTCCTTCCAGGCATTACAAAGACATCATGTTCTTTAGTATGGGAAAGTCGTAAGGTCACTGTGACCTTGACAATAAACCTAAAACCACTGAAATCTGATCACATCATTCTGTAATTCAAGTTGAATTTGGTCCAAATCTTTAACAGAGGGTTCTGAACATTGCTGAAACTCAAAACACTTCAGTAGCTGGAAAAAGATGTGAGTTTGCCTTATTGTTTCCATAAGTGATGAATGATAATTAAGGATGAATTAACAATGTTGAGGATGAAGTTGACATATCAGTACAAACCTGACTCTTGAACCTACCTGGTGTTAAAGGTTTATGTCTGGATTTGTGTCTGGACGAGGAGTCCAGTGTGCTGCTCTCCATTCGGACGTTGCCGCTGCTACGCGAAGCGGGGCTGTGTCCAGATCGATCGCTGTGTCGAGCAGAGGGGCTGCCGGGCGGCCCGGGTGGACCTGAAGGAGCGTTCAGGTCTAAGCAGCTGGCTGGGAAGAAGCGAGCACTGGGCTGCATCCCAACATTGGCGTTGGCGTTTGGGTCATCTAGGTGGAGTCGACCATCACTGAGGTTCCCTACAGATTTAGAATCGCTCAGCGCGCTGTGGCTCTTAGACAGGCTGAGATAAGAGGCTGAACTCTTTGAGGACGAGGACATGGACCCATGGGTAGAATCGGCCATACTGTGGGTGTGTCGGCCATGTTGTTTTTCTGCTGCAGACTGCAGGGTATTGTTCTTTCCTTCCAGGAAGGTGTGGCGGCTGGCCTGCTGCTGCTGCTGCTGCTGCTGCTGCTGCTGTTGCTGCTGCTGCTGAGAGCGAGAGGAGCTGGATTTGCTGTGGCTGTACTTCCCTCCGTGTCCCTGGTCAGACAGCTTCGGGGACGGTCCCATGCTGAAATCAAACTCTGTCTTGCCTTTTGTGTCTTTTGGACTGAGGAGGTGCGGCAGGTTGTTGTTGGCTAGGTCTTTGCTGGATGAGGCTGAACGATTGAGGGTTTGGGACAAGTACTGGCCCTTTGGGAGGAGTTGAGGACTCAGACTGGAGGGGGGTGGCTTGTTCCCGTTGAGGAAACCCTTGTTGCTGAGGTGATGGAGGTCGCCATGGCGAGGGAGGCTGGAACATTCTTTGCTGTTGGAGCGACGGCTCGTGCTCTTTTGGTGACTCCTAGAGGAGAGAGACAGATCAGCATTGTAAGACAACTAACAAACCAAACTTTAGAACTAAAATTAAACTTAAAGTTCTTATTCCGACAATCCCAAGCGTGCTTGATCCAAGAAATGTTTAAACAGTTTCACTTTTATTACTGCAGGATGAAAAGCATTTGGTTCATAACTCACAATGACAGTTCCATTCCAATTCCAACTCGGGTCGTTAGCATCTCCTCTGATATTTTCATTTCAGAGGTACAGCATGCTTTCTAATGATGCATTATATTTAGATGTAACAAGAGAGAGATCTATCTGTCAGAAAAGATTTCCTAAAAGCAACTCTTCAAACAGAGGTGTCTATCACGGTTTTTACTATACATTATAAACTAAAATCAGTCCCAGTGTTTAAAGACATGGATTCAAATTGCAAAATTCTCTCCCTACACTGGCTCCCAGTTTCTGCTCGCATCAAATTTAAAACCCTGCTGCTCGCTTACAAAGCAGCGACAAATACTGCTGCTCCTTACCTAAAGTCTGTCATCCAGGTGTACATCCCCTGACCCTAACCCACCCACTATGCTCTGCCAATAACAGGTGTCTGATCCAACCTTCACAACAGTGCCCTAAGTCTCTAACTAGACTCTTCTCCTCTGTCTGAATTATGGAAGAACATCGCAAGATGAAGCTGCAACAGAAAGCTTACATATAGGCTCTAACCTTGTAGGAACTGTGTTCTCTCCATGATGGTGCGTTTTCCTTTTGGAGGAGCGCGGCAGGTTGGGAGATGCAGGGGGAGGTCGTTCTCTCTCTGCCTGTCTCAGAGGCTGGAAGGCTGGATGGTTCAAACTCTGCTCAGTCAGGTAACGCTCAGTGGGGTTCAGCAGCAGCAGGCTCTGATGGGAGCGAAAGGGGCAACATACTTTAGCAGGTAGTGACTCAAATTATTTATTTGAATATAGAATAAGAAGTTGAATATACTGTAACTGGATTAAAATAGACATAATCGTGTTTGAGTAGTTTAAGTATTTTTTCTGTGTTTTACCTTCATCAGATCCAACATCAAACCACTCAGGATACCCTGGTATCTTCTCTCCAAAGTCTGAGGATGAGTAACAGAGGGAAACTGGCACACACACACAGACACACAGACACACACAGACACACACAGACACACGATTAAATTTGTATCCACACTGAACATTTTTTTGTTACTATTACAACTCCAAAACTACATTAGATATTCCTGTCAGTACAAAAAAAATGCAGCTTTTGGTTTAAATCATACAAAATCAATCACCAGCTCACACTAAACAAACTACTAAACATGCACACAAATACACACACACACACACACACACACACACTCACACACAAAGTCTTTCTCTGTCTTCTGGGACATTTTCGCTAGCTGATAAACTGAACACCAACCACCTATCTCATGAGTCATAGTAATCTACTCAGTCATGGTGCTGGGAACATTGCCACGAGAGAGATAGAGAGAGAGAGAGAGAGAGAAAGAAAGAGAGAGAGAGAGAGAAAGAGAGAGAGACAGAAAGAGAGGCAGACAGAGCGAGCTCTGGAGATAGAAGGGAAGGAGGTGAAACAATTTGAAGAGGAGGAGAGAGAAGAAGAATAGGAGATGTAGAACACAGGCTTCTGTACTGTAGTAAGGATGAACGGTAGCAGTTTCCTACCCTGATTCCATGAAAGCGAGGGTTGTTGTAGAAGAGTTTCATCTGTTCTGCAGGAAGAGGCCCCAAAACCTTCTGAATGGTGAAGAGCTGTAGGTCAAATAAAGCAGAAACATAGTTGGTGATGTGATAGTAATCTGAACTGCACAACGTTACTAACAACAACAGCCCTTCCTATGTTAACACCATGTGTGTAACTGTCCTTGAGCAAACTTCAAAAGGTTGGAAAAAAAGAATGAATATAGAGCATCAAAGTTCACTGTTGATTCTGGAGGAACATGTTCACAACACAAACTAAAAATCCCTTCAGTTCACAAGTTAAGAGGCAAGACTGTTTGTTCAGCCCCTGTGTTCATGAGCTTACCTGTAATGAAATGTGCTTTATAAATAAGTATATTTTGTTGAGCGCATTTGGAGACACGGTGCACACTTTCATCAGTTAAATGTTTTAATGAATGAAATCAGGAGAGCAAATATGCAAACGTGGGTATCAACCTTTTACATACAGTTTCTAAACATTACATTCCCTTTCATTGCTTTGATGAAAGATGAAACACAAACAATAAATTAATAAAGACTTATTCTGGGTAGACACTGACGATGATCTGTATTCGTCGATTCATCCTTCCTCTTATCGTGGATTAGGTCGGTTGTTTGAGGGTTTTCTCCGCCCCACAGATTGTTCAATTCGTGGACATATTTTGGGATTTTCTGATTTGTATGAACAAACATTTCCTTGACTTTTTAAGTCCACCATGTTGTCTTCTCGTTGCTGATAGACACAGCTGTGTTGTTTCGATGCTGAGTCCAAAAGACTGTAACTGTGATTCTTGTATAACAACTTTTCATAACACCATCAAATGCTACATTATAAAAATCTATTTTGTCCTTTTAGGGAAAAAAAACCCATTCCAAGCTAATTATGATCTTTATCAGGTACAGAGCGACCATTTATTCAGCCATCAGAAGAGTCAAAGACACCTCAAAGAGATTCACTTTAAGTAGATATTATCTACAAACATCCATTTGCCACTTTCATGTGGAAAACAGCTTAAAATGGTTAATTTCTCGTTAAAACCATCAATGATGAAGTTTCTGTCAGTACATTACAAACCTGATCTATTTCACTTTCTCCTGGGAACAAGGGCTGTCCGTCACTCAGCTCCCCGAGGATACAACCCACTGACCACATGTCCACGGCCTTTCCATACGGAGCCCTGGCATGGAGAGAGAAAGAGAAAGGGAGGTAAAATTATCATCGTCAGAAAGTCAATAAGAGTGTTGTGACCACTGTGTCACTTCGACAGCATGGGTGATGATGGTGTTGAAAGGGATGGAAAAATGAAGCGACCCAAATGAAGAGGAGATGATTATGAGGATCAAGGTAATGGCAGTGGCAGGGTGATGATATAATTGCCGTGAAAGCAGTAAAATAAGATTATGGATGCCGTCTTTCTGTTGGAGGCGCTCAAAAAGACGCAGCCGTTTATGGAGGGAGGGAGGAGTCTGGTGAGAAATGGTGAGAGATCTGGCAGCAGAGAAGCAGAGGAGCGGTGGTGTTGGAGGGAGAGAGTATTTGAGTGGGCGGCATTCAAACGCTGTCTCAATAAATGTTCCAGGGCATTTACTAAATCAGGCTACAGCAGTGAAGCAAGATGACATTCTGCTGTCTCCCAGCTAGAATGGACATTCAATGCAGCAAAAGGGAATCAAAAAAACAACATGAGCAACGACAACAACTGCGAAACAGAAATGTGATCTCAGGGTACGGTGGTTTCTGTCGTAATGTTGTAGATGGTGAATCAGCCCCTATGAGGGAGGAGATGAAAGCCAAATAATATCAATTAAAACAATGGAGATGAAGATGGTTAACAATTTACAAAAACAATTACAAAAAATGGTTATGTGACTCAACCACAGATTGTATTAGTATGGACAGCCGAATACCTCACCTCAAGTGAAGCCAAAAGATGGCAGCAGAATAGGTCATACCCCGCCCCCCCCATGTTAACAGATAAACTATACAATCAAAATGCACGTCGAATACATTTTCCTCAAACCCAGTTTCCTCATTATATTTATCACCATGTTGATTTGTGTTCAAGTCATCGTTTTTCTAAGAAGTTTTTTTTTAATTTGTTATCTGATGTTAGAAAAAGTTATGAAATGCCATGATTGGCGGCTCTGTTCTGCGGCGCCGTGTGCACCAGATTAGCAGAGTGTAGCATAAACGGTGAGGGAAAACGTCCTTGAACTTCAATAACCGCCAGTGTCGGCTTCAAACCAACACAGGATTCTGTTCTGCTGTAAACCACTGACAGGAAGGACCTTTGTTATTTTAAAATGTTTTTTTTTGGTCGCAGAAGTGGCATGGTGTCATTACAGCGGCTCTTCCTGCCGATCCTTCTGGTTCCAAATGTTCATTATGTCAGCTCCTATCAGAGGGGAATTTTGGCTTCAAATTTGTCAAATGGGAAAATGTTGAGGCACGTTGTCCATATACAGTCTAATGAGTTAAATAAATAAAAAAGTTTTGTGATGCTAAATGAGCTTTTTATGTGCAAATACATGTTCCTGTAATTTCACCAAAAAGCCATTGACAGACAGAAAGCACAAAATGTACAAATGTACAAAATGTTCTCATTCATATTGTCTGTGCCTGCAATGCAATACAGTTCTACAATCTGTTTCTTACAGAGTTGTTATATATTTTAATCTCTGGGTGTTTAACGGCTGGTCTGATTATATTTGCAGATTTTTTCAGAACACTGTGTAAACTGAAAAAATCATTTGTAGTTTTAGGTCAACCAAACAATTCAGTTTTCTTCTACAACTTGAAAAGAATCCCTACATCTAAAACTGCCAGTATGACAATAATGACTAGACACTTGAATCTGCACTGAATGTGAAGGGTTGAAAAATGAACCAATAGCAGAACAGTTATTATCTCCCATGTTTAAGTTGGAGTAACTTCTGCTGCTTGTTTTTGAGGACTTGCTTGAATTCCCTCATGGATCTCTAGAGGTTTAGGAAACCATGAGCCTGATATTACCCTGACATGTTTATGTGTCTATTTTTAGATCTCAGGATAAAAATGCACTAATCCGCTGGTCAGTATTAACACCAGTTCCTCATTAGCAGCTTATGTAATGGATCTAGTATTAGCCAAGACTCCGTGTTTTTTACAGCTGCATCGTTCATCCATCCTTTAGCTACACTGGCTTATCCTTAAGGGTGTCTGAGAGGGGGAGATGAAGCCAATCCCAGCTGACAGTGGGCGAGAGGAGGGTCAATGACAGGGCTGACACATAGAGACTGCATGTATGCTCACATTCACAACACAGAGTCGTCAGAATCCCCAATTAACCCACCTGCATGTCTCTAGGGTGTGGGAGGAAAACCGATGCATTCCAACATTGTAACTTTATCCTGCATACATACCTGAACCGTTCCATTACAAGTTTATATTCTACCTGTCTGCGGCATCATTTCAGGCACATTTAGCAGTAAACTCAACGTTACACTTTTCTTTCACAGTTTTTATGGCCGAACAGAATTTTCTTTGGTATCATACAACTCTAGGATAAACCAGGGGGTCCAGGCGGTGCTTTTGTTTTCTTTTGTTTTAGGTATGTGTGTTTTTTCCTGGGGTTTGTTTTCTTTCTTTTTAAATTGATATATTTAAAAAATATATATCTAAATTCCTTTACTCTTATATATGTCTTTTTAGCCATTACTTTTATATATTTACATTTTTTTTAGAAGGTTTTGGAGTGAGTTTGAAAGATTTTGAAACCTGAAACAATGATAGGATTTGTGTTTCATTTCAGCTGAAACCCCAAACTGTGGTATTGGACTAGTTATTGAGGGAGAAAACGATGGATCTGTGGGTCCTTATGTGAATCAATCTTATGAAAAACCTCCTCCCTTCCACTGCTCTGAGAAAATAAAACATAAAAAAATGCTGAGGATGATTTGCAAAAACCAACAGAATAAGGTCTGTTTCTCTCTTCTCTTGTTTCTCACTCATCAGACTCCTACACTCATACACACTTAAACACAGACTCACCCCAGCAGCAGCTCCGGCGAGCGGTACCACCGTGTAGCCACATACTCAGTGTAGTTGGCATCTGTTCCTTCAGACAGGTTACGAGCAAAACCTGAGCCAGAGTAACATGAAAATAAATAAATCACCCAGTGCTCGGAGTGCATTTAGACATCCAGCAGTCTGTCATAATATGCAGACAAGTTAGAGTCTTTCACACGAAGATATAAATATCCCACTAGTCAGAATAAAGTATCATCAGCTCTCAAATCGTTTGGACAGCTTCAGTAACAACATGCTCGTCGTCTTATGTGACCAGGCTCTAATTGGTTCTGTCACTGCTGGCAGACTGAGACCCTGCTTTAGATAACTGGAGAAAAGAGTCAATTTGAAGCATGAAAATTCACAATACACAGAACGCCTGCTCCAACAGTGAATAACAAACAAATCTCACCCCAGCCGACTCAGTTAGGCTGCATTAGCCAATTATGCAAAGCTAACTGACCGTGTGATTTTGCATCTTGAAATGTAGAATACACACCTGGGAAACTTGAAATCATTAACCTTACTTTCTTGAAATATACCACGGACAGATTCATTGTGATAACAAGTAATGGAGGACATTTGATTGGACTGGTCTGCTGCTTCCCAATGCCTGAATTGGTGACACATTAATGCTGGCTATTTTAATAGTTGACAAAGTCCAAAAAAACCAAAAAAAATGGAATCCAGATATACCTGCAGAAATCAAAGAAGGTTTTTCCTTATCACGATGAATCTGCACTTACAGCAGTATGTCTAATAAATCACTGCAAGCTGATCAGGATTATTTAACAAGACAGATTTTACAAGCAGCTGCCTTTATTTGACAAGGAAAATGTGCAGAGACTTTATGGTTTCATTGCATTGCACGTGTTAATCGCTCATGCCAATACTGCTGCTGTGAAGAACAGGAGAAGACCAAAGACTCACCAAAGTCACAGAGTTTGAGGACGTCCTCCGAGCTGATGAGGAGGTTTTCGGGCTTGATATCTGAAAGAGACAAAAAGCTTTACATACATGCTAAACAAACACATAAAACAAAGACATAAAAAAATCTCTGCAATTTGAAAAATAGACAAGTGTGGTATATGAATGTTGTTAAAGATTTGATCTACTAAAATGTAGTGTAAGACACATATTCCCTAAACATCTCCTAAAAGTGGAAATCAAATCAACAGCGGGTGTTGTCATATGTAACAAATGTTTCATGTCATGTGTGTTTTGTAAGCTGCTACTGGATGCTTTGAATTTTCCTCTGGATAAATAAAGTGTCTATCTATCTGTCTGTCTAGTAGAGACATGAATCTAGTTATAAATACGCTCACCTCTGTGTACTATCTCATTCTTGTGACACCAGTTGATGGCTTTGATGAGCTGGTAGATGTAGCTGCGGACTTTATCAGGCGGTGCACCGTTGGGCAGTTCCTCTAAGAGCTCCAGCATGTTCTGCAAACAACACCAACGATACAATATCGGCTAGATTAGGGTTGCTGAAGATGATTATTACCACGGGGATTCCTCTCCCGGGTTCCTTTTTCCTTTTCTAAACCCTGACTGGGAGTGAAAGGGGACGCCGTGCTATGATGACTAGATTACAGTATGAAAATCAGTCATGAAATAAACACTTGGCTGGAAACCCTGGCAACACAGTGGGGAATACCATTATTCACCAGCAGCATAGTTCATATGTTGCCATGGTGATGCCTTCTTTTTTTTTTATAGTTAACTGAGCAGTCTCAGCATCCTGAGTCCAGATACATCAGACTAGAGAGGTAATGTTAGAGTGAATGTGTCCAAAAACAGTTAAATATTAATGATAGTGTCAGTAGGCGTACCCTCTCAACATATTCAAAGACAAGGTAGAGTTTCCCCCTGCGGCGAAAAGCTTCCTTAAGCTCGACGATGTTGTCCTGCTTCAGCGTCCGAAGCATCTTCAGCTCCCGAAGAGTCGTTTCTTTGACCTCCTCATTTTCTGTGCAGAAATGAGCGATGATAGACATAAAACAGGTGTTCAGCTCTTCCTTTTTCACTCCATCATTTCCTCCCTCCCTCAGCAGCTCACTCACCTTCGCTGTCTTTGAACTTCTTAATGGCCACCAGCTCATTGGTTTCCTGTAACGACACAAGGATGTGAGGTGTGGTAAGGCAAGAAAAACTTACTGACACAAACAAAGACCTCTGCAACTTTCTAACATAGATTAATAGATATAAAAATACATACAACATAACACACTGACAGATCAGAAATTAATGAAGCATTTCTAGAAAAAAGGTGAAGGGGAGATGCTCAAAATGGTGTATTATTTACATTAAGAAGTGCCCAAGTTACTGTCAGTGCCTACATCAAAGCCATGCCGGTTCTCTTATTTAAATTGTTTCAAAACAGAAAACAGCACATCCTGAGCATAGTTAATATGCATCTTCCTCAGGTTCTTGCAGCTTGCTTGACTGACCTTGCTAAATTTTAACAGGCCGGTGTTGGCTGCCAATTCTGGGATTTATAGTAGCTTCAAACATTGTGCTGCAGCTGAAAGCTCTGGTTTAAGCATTAAGTATTTACCAAACTCTTTAAAGGGATTATTTATTTATGTTCACATGGCTTAAACATCAGTCGATATAGGCACATGAATCAAAGCTTGATCGAAAGGCAACTGGACTTAGTTGAAGATCTTGAAATGTCTTCCTTAACAAAGTCCAGTTTCCTTTGGATCAAGCGTTGCTCTACCATGAACCTGAATCTTTACCCCCACAGCACTGTGTTTAAGGTGTCGAGGATGTTACTTGCAAACACACACTGGTGCAGTGGAAATATCTGGTTTAAGATTAGTGACGTGTGTTTTGGACGAGTGGTTTTTAACTAGTACAGCCTCAGCACCCACCACCAACCAACCAACCAACCAACCAACCAACCAACTCCTTCATAAAAGAATTGTGACCAAAGTTTCAGTTCATTTTCAACCAACCAGATTTATTTAATGAAAAGTTATACATACATTAGCGACCAACTGAAAGCAGCTCTGCGACCCCCTTTTGGGTCTTGATCCACCAGTTAAAAACCACTGGTCTGGAGGTTACTGAGGTTATATATGACCTGGTCTCACACCTGACATTATTATTGGTCAATGTTGCAATTTTATAAAACACTATTTCTCTAAGACGCAGCTACCATTATTTCTTGATTGATTTAGTCATTCTTTTAAATTACTGCATTTGTGGTTGTCAGATTTTTGTGTCACAAAACATATGAAATATTGGTTAAAAATCTTTCAGATTTGATTGTTTCCCAGCAAGTTCACGGTGTATGTAGTTCTTAAGAAAAGTAGTTAGTCTTTGAAATATAAACTATTTTTGTTGGAAAATCCCATTTCTGTTTTCCCACTTCATCCAAGATGTTCCTCATGGGCCAGTTTTAGGTCCATTACTTTAATCATTTCATGTGCTTGCCCTGGTTCAGGTCATCAGTAAACACATAGTACAGTACCACTAGTATGCTGAAGAACCCTGATTATATGAACCACTATTATGCTAGCGAGCCCTGGTTAAAGGGGAACAGCTTCTCCAATATCAATTGCTGGACTTCTTGAATCTTCAAAAAAATAAACAAATCCAGAACAGAAAGTATCTTGTTTCTTAAGTAAGAGAGTCTGTCATACATAATCTTTCATAGGAGATGAATAAACGTCAAATTTATTGGAGGAATTCCATCGGTACATTGTGTCCAAACATGCTTGAGTCAATGTAAACATGTTAATTTGATCTTAATGCTGGACCTTGGGGCTGAAGTGATGGAGGAGGATTAATGCGAATAACAACATCCTGGCTGCTGCACTAATGTTCCTCTGAAGGTCCTTTTGTTTAAGGAGGGTCAGACAACAGAGTCAGTTTCAGTGTCAAGAAGAGCCATGCAGTGAGGACTGGCAGTGCTCTGGCTCACACAAGACAATTGTTCAGCTGCTTTTTAATACAAAGCTGTCTGTTTAGAGATGTTCACTTGGGAGAAGAATGAAATCAAACAACAGAGATTTGCATCTTGAACAAACCCTTAATCCTAAGAGTAAAGATACATTTTCCAGTGAGGGGAAGTCTATCCGAACATCAAACCGGGAGATTTACTGTGTTTACCAGGCAAGATAAAACACACACATACCAACACAAATACAGCACATTCAACATTTCCAGCATCAGTTCTGATGCAGCATCCTGCAACATGCTGCTGATGTGATGTCTCTGACCTCCACTGATTTACCTCTGCAGCCACTGTTAAGTCAGCACACCTAAAAATAGCCTCAAGCCTGTTAATTCTCTGCTTAGGACATGAGTAGGTCCTTATTGTGACATTTCAGAGAAGTAAAGCTCCAATGTTTTCTCTTTTTCCTCTCGACCATCTGTCATCAATGTTTCAATATGACGTGACATATCGAATGCAATGAACAGACCGCCGACACCAACAGTGTTGCTGTTGCTGTCACACACTAATAATATGAAACGTCTGTTAAATAAAGAAGCTAATTATAAGTGTGCTAAATGGGACTTAAAGGACTTTTCCATAAAAGGGCTCCATTAACAGAGCGATTTGGAATAACTCTTTTTTTGTTCCTCAAGTGCAACCATCCTTTTCTTTATTTTCTTCCAACCCATTTTGTAAATGTATTGATGAAAATAAATAAAGTTTTTGTTATTTATTTTACTCATGAATAGTCCATCTCTCAGTTTTCTAATGACTTTGTCTTCTTACGGCCATTTTTGTTATCACTGTATCTACATTTCCTTACCCCCTGTTTGTACTCGTATGTCTGTGTGATTTTGTAGCTTTTTCCTTTACATTTGTGTGAATTTATCTTTATGTGTCTTGTTAAAAAAGCACTAGTTATGAGAGAAACAAAGACTCGGCTCGAATTGACGTGTTCCTTAATGCACATAGCAAATAAATAAGTATATCTTTGGGAGCCATAATGTTGCAAGTCTTTGTTTGCATCATACCTAGTGATTTGTTTCGACTCAGCACCTAAATAAATGATGTGAGCTTGTTTGCTGACTTTTTCTTGTTAAGAGGCAGGTCATATTCATTTGGGATGCAAACATAAAGGTAAAAAAAACAGCTTTTAATTTATAAATTGTCGGCTAACAAGGTAAGAGACCCATGAAGAAAAAAATGACTTTTGTTAAAAACAATGAATTCACAATATTGGCATCACAAAAGGCGGAAGTAATAACCTGAATATAAAGTGAGGAGAAGTATATGGCACTGTATAAATACGATGAATGTTGTTATCTCTGGTAACCGTCTGCATTAAAGATTAAGATAGGCCCGCAAACTTGATAAAATGCCACAAACGTTTTAATAGATCACAACGTTTCGACTAGAGGTCTTCTTCAGGTGATCATTTTTTAACTCTCTGGATGAGAAAAAAAATTATATTTGCATCTCCTAATTTTGCTACAGTTTCTAAATTGTACAAATTAATTTACATTGAGAGGTTCACTTATCTAATTCCTGGAAGAAACACAAATGAGAATAGAGAACTTAATCCACCTAAACCCAAATTTGACCTTTAATTTGTCGAAGATTTAATCAAGATAAACAGTCAAGTTTTTATCGAAGTTTGACAAAACAACTCAAGCGAAGAAGCAATATCGTTCATTTAATAACTTAATAATATCAATGGTTTTATCAATCACGCAGTAAAATAAAACATTCCACTTACAAATATCTGATAAGAGGAAAGCCATTAATCACTTCACAAAGAATGTCTGATTCATTTTCTAAGGACTGGTTTTTAATTGAAATTTCACTCCTGTATTATAATACAGCACAGAGATACAGTATAGGCACCAGGAAACACTGGCTAGCTTGTAGGTTGAGCTATTGTCTCTCCAAAAACACAAATTCAAGATAACACATAAGCCTCCGTACACACACCCACATACGCTAACACAACACTTCCATAAAGTGGCAGAACATTGCACAAACCGAGGCGCACAGTCGCTCGGCTAATTAAATGTTCCATCAAACACGGACTGTATTGTACAGAATACATTATTACTAGAGAAATGCACCATTTAAATACACTGTATTTCTTCATACTACAGTCAAAGTCTCTTCTGGGTCACCTGGTTGTTTTTCTGAGCCCAGTGCTCTGTGTCAGTGCTCCCCCTTCACCACACACAGGTCTGCTGTAGACTCCTAACAGGGTGACCCATTTACCATCAGCATGGTCTCCATATCCAATACCTCCCTCTGCATCTCCTGCTTTCCTGAACACACACACACACACACACACTTTAACACATTGCTTCTCTGTCTCTCTCTCTTCCCTTTGCCAGCCCGCTCTCTCCTGCCCTGTTTCCAGCTGAGAAAAGTAAAAATAACTGCTCTCTAACAGCAAAGCTTAAAAGCCTTTATCGCCATGGTCTCAGTCTCTGGCTCTACATGTGAACATGACTCCCCTGCACTTGGAAACATGTAGCATTTCACTTTTTAATAACATAGTGTAACTGTAAGAACGTGCTAAACATAACCACACTTCTCTAAGTGGTATCACAATTAGGCCAAAACTGATCAAGCTTAAATTAATTAATTAGCCCAATTTCTCAACTTTCATATTTCACACTGGTTTCACTACTGTGCAAATGTCCTGGCGCTTTCTTGACACAACAAAGAAGTCATAATGAGAAACCAAAGGCTTCTGTGTCTTAATAACCTTAATAACCTCCGTAGAATTTGCATACAAATAAGCAAGTTGAGTAATTCATATTAAGAAAAACCAAAGATGTTTTGACACTTATTCTATCAACGGAAATGCTTCAGAGCACCTACAATGCTGATATGAGGAATTGGCAGTCACACACCAATCAAATAACCTTTTTCTATCCCCCTTTAAAAAAAAAACTCAGCTTGTTTCTTTTCTCCAAAAACAGCAGCCTGCACAGCAATAAGGTTTATTATGGAAACACCTGACAACAGCAGCAGCAAGGTGTTTAGCAGCACTTTCAATCAGCCAATACTAAAGTCTGGGTGTCAGAACTGGAATGGAAAAAGGAAGGAATAAGACCACAATACCTCTAAATTAAATATTTGTATATTAATTCTTCCTTCTTGCAAAATTGTAGCA